TAAAATAAAAAAAAAACACGTCCCGTGCAGAAATATCTCAAAGCATTGTTGTGTCACTTATCACATCGTTTTCATTTTAAACCTTTTCAAGTCTTTATTAATTTCTTGCCTTTGCTAGGCAAGCTGCTATCTGCCTGAATCATGTTCGGGAGAAAATTTAATTTGACCGAAAACTTCATAATTGATAACGCTCCATAAACGTGCGTTTTATCTGCAATCATTTTTCATCGAATTTCCCAGACTCCAATGAATCGTTCGGCCGCAAACGCGATACTCCTAACAGCATGTCTCGATAATTGCGTTGATATTCGGCACGTATGTGTTGCGAACTGTTCGATCGTGAACGTGATAATATTTTATTGTTTCGCGTCAAGATTTACAATGCAAACAGTATGTGAACGTGCGCGATGTTACGAAATGACCGATAAAAACCCCGCCTTTACAATCAATGAAATTTACAAATTAATCACCACTCATTAACCATGGTTAAACAAGCTGCCCGAAATTAACACTTGTATTCGAACACATTTGTCGACCGTAATGATTTTTCGATAAAGCACGAAAGACTGTATCTCGATACAACTCGATAAAACACAATTACCGCTCACATACGCCAACAAACCGACGAGAAGCTTTAAATGTGATTGAAACCTCGCTTGTTGACATTCATTAATATCAACGAGTTAAGTAATGTCAGGTATTTTCTCCTTTAGTAATTTTAAATATTTTCCTGAAATAATTTCTTTTGTAAAATAATAAAAATTAATACATAATAATATTTAGTGCTTGAAATATCTATGACTAAAACTTTTATATTTTAGCGTTTGACTCCTGAGATAATATCATTAAAATCGTATCTATCGATTAACTATAAATACATTTATTCTCCAAATACTTTTATATTTAAAATTATTATCTAAAAGATCGTATTTACCAAGCTCTCTATTTCTCATCAATATTGCATAATTTTTTAATAAAGTCTTTATCTCAATCTGTGATAAAAGGAAAAATACCAGAGCAAAACTTCTGGAAATATATGTACGATTATTGCTTGAATCTATATCTAAAACATAAAACAGACTTGCGTATACATACGTTAAAAGCAAATAACAAATCGTCGATTCGCATCAAATTCAATCAGTTCTGATGTTGCTTATTCCTCCGATTCAAGGATGATTCGCGATTCGCTCAACGTTTGCCGAAGTACATCGCATTGTATGCCCAACACACAAAACACACACACACACACGCACACACACACCGATATTATTGTTCTAACTACCAATTATGAATATTCATGGAAGGTCTGCGTATCGTCGAGGCGGAGGGCGTGATGCAAACACGGCCATATCACTATTGTGAAACTCACAATATGTATATTCCAACATGAATATGCTTATAAATTGATCTCATGCATCAAGTCACAGACTCGTTTTACAAGTCGTCACTGCAACATGTTTTTATTTCCATCGCGACGAGTGAGTTCGATGTTCCGTACGTCGTTGCAAAAATCTTCGCTGTTATAAAATCTCTACAATTCCAACCCGTTTTCATGATTTCTATTTTCCATTCGATTACTTTTTGTTCGCATGGCGTTATCTATCTACATGCCACGAGCAATCATATTTAAATATTAATTTCCTTTCCGAGAGAACAGCACAAATGTCGTAATATCGTCGTAATAATTTCTAGTTATAATTACATTTGTGTATCATATTTTATTGGAAATTAATATTAAAAATGTCTTTATTCAATACTGTCATTAGATCGAATCTTAAAAGAAAACTCTGGTAAGAATTTGACTACAAGTTAAAAACAAATCCAAATTTTATAATAATAAATAGCCGTATTGATCTACCTTTTTGTAGTTTATATACTTATAATTTTTATAAAAATCTCTCACAACAGACAAATACGTTGTAAACATATTTTTCATCATACTACACTTTCCGTGGAAAAATAAATTTATATTTTAATTGTAATTTATTTTTCACTAACGCCAAATATAGTTTGTAGAAGAGATAATTAAAAAGAAATTTTTTGATCAGAGAATATTAATTCCTGAGTCTTTTGATGAGCAAAAGAAAGATAAAAAATATAAAATATGGAAAATCAATAATTAACTCCGACAGACAATAGTTTTCTCTTCTTTCTTTCTTTCTTCCTTCTTCTTTATCAGTAGCAGATGTTTCAGCCTTAAAAAACTGCACATCAGAGATGGGAAAATATAATCTTTACAAGAATCGTTAACCTTCTTATTGAAATAGTTTGAAACTCACCAAAGTTTTCCTTTAAAGCGTCCGAGATTAAGGCAATGTCTCGGTTTAAGCTCGATTTGCGCGAGACAAACGTATCACTTACCTTTGCACGGACAAAAACCTTTGCAGGCGATATGGACGGAGGTATGGTGAATGCAGTTGTGGTACTCGAGTCGACATGGCGAGCTATACGTGCGATTGTCGCTTCCGCAGAGGAACGTAGGCTTCACCACGGGACATTCCTGGCACCTGTAACACAGGAAAAACACCGACGAGCGATTTAAACGCCTGGCTGTCGACACGCGCTATGTTCGTAGAGACCAGTTCAGCAAGTGAGACAAAGGACAGTCTGTCGAGTGTTCGCGCGCGCGCGAGGGAATATCGAAATTCGATGCTCTATGCCGTACACACAGTGCCGCTTGTGAATTTTGTTAAACGACGTGTCACTGGATATCGAAAACGACAAGGACGATGACGTAGCTCTCGCGTACCTCAATATAAAACTCATAAAATCTCTCGTGAAAATTTATGAACCCTCGCAGGCGCCTCATGCAAATGTACTTTGATGCGCAATTGACTAGTTCTCGCTGAGCCTTGCGCAGGGGCGCACGCTCGTCGCGCGAATTCACGACGTTTGCACGTCGTTCAAAATGTCTATCACGACTGTCTATCGCGAACAAAAGACCGTCGGTAATAAAATAGTAATACCGCGATCAACGGATGATTAAAGTTTGAGAACGCGCTACAGTACGTTAGAGATCAAAGGCATCGCGCTTCGCAGACGAGTACTAATCGACGGACGCTCTTGAGAGCGTCACGGAGAGAAAGCTGAAAAAGTCTCGACTCTTGCTCGTTCCGGCGCGAAGCTGAATAATGAAAAGCCAAGGATGTGCCGGGGAGTCAATTACAGATATGGTCGGGTTTAATCTCCAGAATTGCTTGCCTGCCATCTAAGCGCACCATTGTACGCATTATTCTGGGCGCACTCTCACTTCGACTGGTGTTTCACGGCCGCGTGCACTACCCCCCCCCCCTTATCTTTTGTTCTCCATTCATTATGCCAGAAAATTTTCCAAGCCTCACAAAATCTCATCAACTCAAATGTTTCGAATTATAAAAAACAAGATGTTTTATTCCAAGAATTTTATAAGTTTACAGAACATTCGAGCGGTATGCTCGAGGGATTATTTTAACCGATTATGCATTTCAACAACTTGTACATTACGCGCTTGTAATTCATAAATGTTGCGTGTCTGCGCACATTCATTTCTAAATCTGTGCTCGAATTTACACTCGATATAACAGAACTTACTTTGTTCACTAGTGAAACAAAAGGAAAAAATCATTTTAGAAGCGCAAAAGAAGTACTAAATGTTTCAACAGTCCTGTCAAAATTGAGGTAAACGCGAATTTTTCGAACATGTCTTGCGTGCGTAAGTCGAGACGCATAATATGGGGAAGCGGATAAACTGCAAAGCCGCAGAGACAACCGAGATACGCGAGGTAACGTAGACAGTGGGGTTCGCTTCACCTTGTGATAAAGGAGTTAAACCGGCTTAATTACCACGTTACTCGGTTTAAACTAATTATGCGTTTGCGTTGCGCGCGACCGCAAATTCTCGAAGCAGAACGTACCGACGCTATTGTGGTCGAATCTACCTTACCAGGGAGGGCGCGCTTCGTGGAATCTTCGTTAGGAGAGAGGTTCGGTATCACGAACAATTACGGATCAATATTAATCGTTTTATAATTCAACAGGCAATTTCCAATGTGCTATCATGGTCGACGCAACTGTCAGCTAACCGAGTTTTAAAGAAATTCGACTCACGTCAAATTGATTAATTTTCTTAGATAAATCTCTTAAAATGAAAATTCGTCTTGACGGTTGGACGATGAAATACCACGTGGTGCGCGCGTGAAGCGAAAGCATTAATATTAATTAATAAATTTATATCATTTTTGTCAATGTCCTCTAATTACATCTGACATTGATCGATAGATCGCGACTTACTTTGCTAAACTGCTAAATAGTGAACCATTTTCCGGGAAAAGTTAAATCTCGATTGCAATCGTTGAAATGTTCGAATTTTGATCCAGCGAAACGTCAATGGTTCTGTTCGCCTAGTCTTTTGCGACGAAATATTCAACGAAAGAACAAATCGTGTCAATGGAAGAGAGGAAAGGCGTGGCGGGTAGATAGTAATGCACATGCCAATCCGCCCTTAATCCTTCGCCGTTCGTATCGAGAGGCTAGCTGCCCGAGCGAAGCTTGTGAGAAGTTGGAAACTTTCGTCAGGTGGCACTTGAACTTTATCGTGTCTACTTTGGATGTGCAGGATAAACCATTACCCTCTCTCGGCGATACTTCCACCAAACCTAAATCTAGCAGTTGAAACAAGATCGTAGGGCTGCAACGGAGAACAAAAGAAAGTTTTTTTTTTTTAAAGAAAATAGATGTTTCTGGTGAAACTTTACGAAAAGCTTGACAAATCTTTCTGGATCCTGGAATATAATGTTACACATCTGCATGATTACGATGAGTTGTAGTTGATTATGTAATGTAGAATTAAAGAATACTACACGGTAATATTTAATCACTCGTCTCGAAAGTTCCTTATATACAATTTAATGAAATAAAACTATAGATTAAACTTTACCCGCGCTTATTATATTAATATTAATTAAATCAAATTTTTAATTCTTGAAATCAATTAAATGTACGATTATTTGCCATTATTAAATTTTACTTTTGGTTTTGTGTATTACTTTTTATTAATTAAATGAAAACATTCTCACGTTATCTTTCATAATAGTTCGGTATGGCACTACTAGTGATGGATTAAGAGGGAGGGAGAGAGAGAGAGAGAGAGGAGGGGAGGGGGGAGGGAGGAGAGCGCGTC